AAACAATTTCCTAATTGAATACTTACAGACAATAGCTTGCCTTCATGCTAACAGATATACTAAGGAGTTCTGGGTTTAAAGTTTTAGTTGAAATCAACTTTGATCTGAAAAATAATAGCAAATTAGCTAAATCTACATGATTATAAAGAAGTCCACTACTGAAAGGAGTAAGTACATTAAATTAGAACCCACATGACAAAGGGCTGGAGAAATGGCTCAGTGGTTAAGAGCGCTGTCTGCTCTTCCAAAGGATCCAGGTTCAATTTCTAGCACCCACATGGCAGCTCACAACTGTCTGTAATACCAATTCCAAAAGCTCTGACACCTTCACACTAATGCACATAAAATAAAAAATAAAAAAAAATAATTAAAAAAAAAAGAAGTCACATGACAGGTCCCCAAGAAAGATGAAAACTAGATTCTAGGATCAAGTCTTGTCAACATCCAACTTCCATATATTTACATGTGGCATATAATAATTAGTGAATAGGGTTAACACACTGCTCAAAAGCCACAGCAAAGAAAGGCCTTCCAGACAGTGAGCACCAGGTAGAGAACTGGACTCTACTCTCTGGGACGCTCTCTGTGGTGAACACATGTGACAAAAAACAGCACACACTCAGGAGTCAACTTGTCCAGAACTCAGAAGCAGGGCTCCTGGACACTCCCTGAGACCTCCTGCAGAAACACGGGGCCACAAAAGCAGTGGCCTTGTTCTGCCTCCAGGAAGACGCAAACAATCTCTCAAGGCTCTCTTCTCCAGTCTTATGGTACATTTAAAATGCCTGGGACATCCTGCCACATTCGTAAATTCTGGAACCACATTCCTAGAGTCTTAGGATAAGCAAAGACTAGAAAGTTTACCTCCACTGCCTCTTCCAGAAACTGAAGCTGAACCCCAACACAACACGAGAGAATATAAGAAAGGGAACTTAAGACTAAGTGGACCCAAGCTAGAAGTGTAATAAAAACATACAATAACAGATGAACAATCGATTTAAAACTAAGACTGCTCATGAGTTTACCAACGGCAGGTTAATTCCTCTTAAACTATCCTGTCATCTGTGGGCCACCATCCCATCTCTCCTTCCACCTCAAAGGGTACTTTCTGATTCCTGAGCATACTCTTTAACCTCAGGCCTCAGTGTACCAGGGAGTATCTCATCCTGGCTTTAAAAAGCACAAGTGTGCCAATAACACAAACTATAAATGCTGGTTTTGTATTTTTGATAGACCCTATTTTATAATCTCAGGGGCCAACAGGAGTTGGGCAGGAATGCACAGGAGGAAAACAGAGGCAGGAGTGTGCATTCCACCTAGGAAGCAGACGCTCTTCTAACAAGCTGGTCATCAAGGCATTTGATGCTTTTTGATGTTGAGAATGGACAGAGAACTGTTATATTATATTCACTGGAGTTCTGCTGAGTGTGTAGGGTTTTCCTCTTATTTCAATGAACTGTTGTGTATTTTTTTTTAAGTAAAAATCACCAATTTATTCTCATCCTAGTATATTAAAGGAGCTTTAATCCCAATTGCAAATGTTACTAACTAACACACAGATGAGACACACTGTGTCACCACCCAAGGAAACCCCTCTCTGAGGTGTGTCCCCCATAGACCCTCTACTCACACCTCTGCTGTAGACAAAACAAACTCCATGACTACATCAGAAACTGGAGTTGTGCAAAGGTGCAAATTATATAAGAACAGGCATTTCCCAAAGACGAAATAACTGTTAATAAATGACAAGCCAAAGTTTAAAAATATAACGTAGCCCCCTTTCATCTAAGACAGAGATGATCAGCAGAAAGCCCAGCAGGGGACCCCGTCATCCCAGCACTGAGGTGGGAGCAGAGAAGGACGCTGTTCGAGGTCAGCCTGGGCTCCAGGCGGAGCCCTGCGGCGACTCACAGAAATAAAGGTGATCGCCACACTAGCCAGGTCACTCACGCTCAGTTCCAGAACCCGTGGAAAGGAGGAAAGTGGCACTGACTCCACGTGCACATATGCAAGCCATGTCACCATGCACACACAGGTGCGCACACACACATGCACATGGAGAGAGAGAGCAATGGGAACAGAGTTCGGGAGATGCCACTTACAGGCAGGCGCACCCCTCCCTCCCACAATAAGCTAAGAGACCTGGAAAGATATGAGCTCAGGAGGCCAGGGAAGGAAGACCCAAGACGGTCAGGCTTTAAGCCAGCACCACCGCTCCAACACACCCTTCTGGAAGCTAACCCTGACTGACCTGGTCACTGAGAGCTGACAGGTCTCTAGGAAGTTTTCAGGCTACTTGAACACCTGGAACATCAAATCACACTGCCAACAGCATCACACGCTCCAGTGTATGAAAACAGAGCATCTTTATGTATTTATATTGTTCTTCAGTTCTAAACTCCAAGCTTTAAGTGCTCCAAGAACTCCACTGTTCACCCAGCCCACCAACTGTTAACATTACCTATGACTTGTTTTTTTTTTTAAAGATTTCTTTCTTACATATACAGTATTTTGCCTGCATGTACACCTTCATGTCAGAAGAGGGCACCAGATCTTATTATAGATGGTTGTGAGCCACCATGTGGTTGCTGGGAATTGAACTCAGGACCTTTGGAAGAGCAGTGGGTGCTCTTAACCTCTGAGCTTTCTCTCCAGCCCCTCGGATGACTTCTTTACCTTTCTCTCTTCTGTCATCCCTACACTCATTTAAGCCACAGGCCCACTCCTGGCTTCCCCAGGCCTAAGAACAGACATCCACTTTCACAGTCACAGACCAATTACCAAATCAGGGAACTGAGCACAATCATCAGGTCTCCAAACCTTGGTCATAGCCAAATGTCCCCACAGCACTCTCCATACCCTTGCCTTCTGCCTTGAAGGTTTTGTTTTCATGTCTCCTTAAGGTCAGCTGCTTCCCCAGCCTTTGTGTCCATGACATAGCCGGTCTCTCTGATAAAGCAGTGTGTTTTAGAACTCCTCCCCTGCACTCTGCCTGTTATTTCCTCTCAGTGGAATTGAATGTTTTGTATTTTTGCAGAATGGTACTTTCTCCTCTGCACCTGATAACCAGAAGTACCGATTATCAGCAATTCCCATTGCTAGAGATACGAATTGCTGGTCATTCGGTTAAGAAAGTCAAGTTAGTGTTCCTGACCTTTTTGACCACTGAGTGATGTATGGGAAGGTAAGTACACACCCTGTTCCTCACAGAACTTCTGACTACACTTGGGCATCCACTGACAGTATCTACTTGCATCTCCTGTTACTGTGACCGGTGCAAAATGCCCTTTCAGGCCTCCTGCCAATTGTTGATATCAGTCAGGAGCCCATGCCACTGGAATCACTCCCCAGTGGTGCTCTGACCTAGCCCAGCAGGTCTGCACTCCACTGTCTTTCATATTTAGTCACAGAAACGACAAGTGGGTGCTCCTTCCAGCTTGCTCCTGTGTCCTTCCACAGGTCTACCGTGTGAGCGCTTCCTTGCCTTGGGCTCCAGATGCTCCATTTTTGTGCTTGCTTTCCCTACAGGGTTCTGGAGGTAACCAGATACTTCTCTAAAAAGCTGGGCCATTTAGCAAGAGTGATTTTTTAGAAAAAAAGATCTTCCCATGGCTAAAAGCCTGTATTATTGCTTCCAGGCCCTCTCAGCACAAAGAAGTAGGACACATTTTTTATAAACTATAATTCGGAAAATCATATCCAGTAAGAAAAGCAATACATAAAATGCACCTTTTCCACAATCGAATTTGAACAACACAGGTAACAAAAAAGACACCAAAACAAAACAGGTAAATAAATGTTTTGTTTATCTTTCTGGGTGTTGTTTTATTTTGTTTTGTTTTCTTGATTTGGGAGTCTTTATTGTATTAGGTTTTTGTTTTTTTTGAGAAAAAACAAAGCTGAGAGGGTAGGGAGGAGATGGTATGAAAGGACTTGAGGAAGGGAAAGAATATGATCAAAGTATATTTAATTTTAAAAAAATTTTTATAGGGGCTGGAAAGATGGCTCAGTGGTTAAGAGCACTGTCTGCTCTTCCAAAGGTCATGAGTTCACTTCCCAGCAACCACATGGTGGCTCACAACCATCTATAATGTGGACTGATTCCCTCTTCTGGTAGGTATATACATAAAATAAATCTTTAACAACAACAACAAAAAATTGTTTTATATAATAAAACATAATAAAAAACTATAGTAAGACACTGAATTATGAGCTAATTTTTCCTCTTATACTGTGTAAAATTTTATTACAAAGCAAGCTATTTACATAAATCTCTCAATTTCACAAATACAAAAAACAAGTAAAGCTGTAAATCATTTTAGGTTTATGAGTCACCAGTCTTTTTTGGTGGCGAGAGTAAGAGCAATTAGACAAAGCAAAGAGTAATGATATTCCCAAATTCAAATAACAAACAGCTGTGAGCACCTGTTCCGAGATTACTGAAACGTGCGCACTGCAGGGCACACCCAACACTGCACAGAGCATCTGGCCCAGGCGGCACTCGCCGGCACTCACAGTCTGCTCATTGGCTTTCCAGCTGCTTCCTAGGCCTGCGATCACAGACTCCAGCATTTACTAAATACCTGCTCTATTTCCAAAACTAAGTGTTCGTCCCATGCACGGCCCACACAGCACCACCCTCCTGGCCCCGTCCTCAGGGAGTCTCTCCATAAAGCCAGTCATACTGTTGGTGATCACTCAGCCCTGCTAACGCACAACTCAGGAAAAGCCCAAGAATTCCCTGACACTGAGCCTTCCATAGCAGTTGCTACCGTGTCCTTCACATCACTAAAAGCTCTCCCACGCTCAACCTGTTTCCCGCAGTTGGATGCTGAATGTCTCTCTGTAACTGCATCACCTTTTACCCACCACGACACCCTCTGCCCCTATAACCCTAATAGGCGCCCAACATACACAATGCTGAATAATGAAACTAAAAAGCAGAGAGAATGAGTGTGAGTCCACAGAACAACATCAGACTGGATGCTATAAGGCCCTACCTGGTAACTAACTGTTTTCGTTCCGTCGTCTCTAGTATGAGGTAAGGTTAACGGTCCTGAAACTATCCAAACATCTTCAAATCTCTCCGTCAGCTCACGACAATACATTTCTATTCTGCAAAACAATATTACATACGTTATATAATCACAGGCATAGATGTGAGGAAACAGCATGCCACCTAGTCCCTCAAAAAGACACCAAGACATCTCGTTTAAGAAGTTAACTTGGCCTGGTGATGCGGCCTTGCAGGCCATGGAGGAAGAGGATCCAGGCAGTCCTGATGAGACTGGACAAGCTATGGGCAGATGGCAACAGTGGAGAGCTCCCCCTTTCAGTGGACCAGGGAAAGGAGATGGAGAAAGAAAAAAGGCGCTTCAATCAGGATATATAATGAATAAATTGTGATGAAAAAAAAATTAAAAAAAAAAAAAAGACATTAACTTAGGACTAGCCAGAGTGGCTAGTCCCAGCACCCTGAGGTGCTGGCAGAAGGATCTATATAGAGACCAGTCTTGTTTACACAGTGAGTTCCAGGCCAACCAAGGTTACATAGTGAGACCCTAAGTCAAAAAACAAATAAATAAATTTTTTTAAAAATTAAACAGTATCAAGACTGTGGCTGTGTACCCTAATCCACACTGGCTCATCCCCTCTGAAGCTGACGGTAAGACTTACACAGAGATGTTCTCTAGACCACACCTCCTGCACTTGCCTGTGACACTCAGAAGCTAAACTGTGCTTCCCTAAGTGATGGCTAGCTCTAGAATGTGTGTTGTGAAAGGCTGCTGGTCTCACCACAGGATGCAGTTTTCCTAAAAGGCTAAAGGTACTAGAACATGGACTCCCTTACTTAGCTTAACACAACCACTCTTGGGTTCTGGCCATCCCATGAGGCAACCGTCTCCGGTGTGGATCATTTACAGAGCACAGTACCAGGGAAAGAGATGGGGGTTCGTGACAGGATGTCCACTCAGCAGTGGCATGCACTCTCTATTGCACTTGTACACAAGCTACAGGAGATGACAAAATGTGCCACCACTCCTCGTACAGACACCCAGTTACAAGGTGAAGGGCTCTCCCTACAAAGACCCCCCCTTGGGAAAGGAAAACGTAATAGGCTCCCATAGGTGTGCAACCGGCAAACACAACATGAAAGGAATGAAGCTCTTAACACTTGAAAGAAAAAGAGAAAGACCTTTACACGGGAGTGAATCGATCTCTAAGTTACACCTGAACCTTAGTCGGGTCCAACAGCAACAGGACACTCAGATTTTGAGCACTTTAAGACTGGCACTACAGAGCTGCAGTAGTAGTACTGTGGGTGACATTTTAGAACGAGTCTTTTTTCCTAAAGTTACACATTTATAGAGTCATATCTTATAATCTGAGCAGGTGGTAGGGGTTAGAGATACAGAAGAAACAGATATGCCATGGCATAGTCTTCACAGATTCACTTCCTGGCTTTTTAAGTGTCCACATATGCACGTGAGCACAAGGGTGCAGGTGCCCTGAGCTCCCTCTCTGGCCCTAGAGTCTTTAAATATAGGGCATTTTCTTAATATTTATTTTTTTAGATTTACCTATCTTTTTTTTTGTAGATTCTTTTTATTTTTATAAATTACAGTTTATTCACTTTGTATCCCCCTGTAGCTCCTTCCCTCCCCCCTCCCAATCCCACCCTTCTTTCCCCCTTCTCCACCCATGTCCCTCCCCAAGTTTATCAATAGGGAAGGTCCTTCTCTCCTTTCCTCTGATCCTAGTCTATCAGGTCTCATCAGGACTGGCTGCATTATCTTCCTCTATGGCCTGGTAAGGCTGCTCCCCACTCAGGGGAAGGTGATCAAAGAACAGGCCAATCAGTTCATGTCAGAGACAGTCCCTCTTCCCATTACTATGGAACCCACTTGGACCCTGAACTGCCATGGGCTACATCTGTGCAGGGGTTCTGTTATCTCTATGAATGGTCCTTGGTTGGAGTATCAGTCTCAGAAAAGTCCCCTGTGCCCATATTTTTTGGTTCTGTTGCTCTCCTTGTGGAGCTCCTGTCCTCTCCATTACCTATCCTTTTATTTTTGGAACTAGCATTACAAAGAACCATGAGCCATCACATTGGGGCTAGAAACTGAATCCGACTCTCTGGAAGAGCAGCCAGGGCTCTTAAGTGCTGAGTGCATCCCATCTCTGTTTTCTTTATTTTGTTCTGTTTGTTTGGTTAGGTTTGGTTTTTTTTTTTGGTGGTGGGGATGGAAGCCAGGACCCTTGTAGTCTATTAATGAACTATACCCCTAGCCGTATTCTGAACCCATAAAATATTATATCGGAAAAGCACACAGGCCTGAAACCACCTCAGTGGAGGCTAGTCTCAGATGCTTGGTAAGACTGCCTGTCAATATCAGAAGCAGCGGAAGGCCCTCAATGTTTCTTCCACTAGAATGTCCAACTGTACCACACCAAAACTTTCCTCCTTCAAAGCTCAGAAGTGTACCATGAGGGTGGATCATGGCTGTCATCTCAAAACTTGGGAGGCTGAGGAAGGACAGGTTGGAGGCCAGCCTGGATAGGTGACTAAGCCTCCCACAAAGCGCCCTTCCTGGACACACTCATTTATTAGCAGGAAGATTATCTTCTTTTCAGCAGCAGCAAATGGTTCAGAGGCAGGCTGTCTCCCAAACATAGCAAAGAGAGCAGAATCTGACAAATAAACAAGAGCCAGCACAAGCAAGCTGGCAGCCCGCCACCCAACATCCACACCTACCTATTCCAATAGCCAGAGTTATTATCAAAATTCTGAGGCACAATATTGGAAAGGTAAAAGGTTTCTGCCATGGCTTTCTGTGAAGAAAATGGAAATGGTATGTTATTCTAGAATGCCTTCGCTCTACAGCTCTACAAAGCAGATGTGAATTAACACATTAGCTCTCATAGTTAGCAACTACAGACTAGTCAGTGCCAGAATCCAACCCACAGCCCCACTCATGCCAGGCAACCATGCTACCACTCAGCTAATCCACAACCCACTAATGTTTCTTTAAATAAATGAAGACAGAAATATTCCAAGACAGAAAACTATGGTTATACAAAATAACTTGACAGCCAGCGAGATGGCTCAGCAGGTAAAAGTGCTTGCTTCACAATTCCGTTACCCATAATTTGATGCCCAGAAACCACATAAAGGTGAAAAACACAAACTCTACAAAGGTGTCCTCTGGCTTGTACATACAATCCACACATACGCACATACATACAAATATACACAGAATAACTTTAATTAAAACAAAAAACTATGAGTTGGGTACAGAGGCACATGCCTATTATTCCAGAACATCAGAGGTGAAGCTGGCTATCAGGAACTTAGGGTCATCCTAGGCTACATAATGGGTTTTAGGCCAGCCTGGGCTACATAAGTGTGTCTCAAATAGTAATAATAATACATTAAGAACTATAATGTAAGTAGGTCAGTGTGTCTGGCTTTACTTATCATTTATAACATCCTCCCAAATGCATGTCTATAAGCTCCAGGGACCAAATGCCCCCAAGAAAAGCTGAAAAGTAAACTCTGGCTTTAAGCATCCAGAGGAAAGGTCAAATGTCAGGAATTGTATTCAAAGTATAAAAAAAAAAAAAAAAAAACCTAGCTCAAAAGTGCCAGAGAAAAGGTCCCCGTTCTCCCAGTTTCCGGCCACTGTAAGTGCATACTCTGCATGTCTAACCTACCTGCACAAAGCTCTGCCTCACTGACTCTAGCCAACCTCGGCTCTTCAAGCATGTACTCTTCAAGGGTGGCGCTCAGCCTGGCAGCCACTGGGTCACACTGGCTGCTGGGTTTGTTTTTTTTCAGCTTTTTTACAGCTCGGAGACTACGGGCTGGTGTAGCTCAGTGGTAAAATGTTTAACATGCACAGGTTAAAATTAAAAGTAAAGCACAAGATCCAACAGCCTCACACAGACACAAATGCAGGCAAAACACAAATGCACATAAAATAAAAAGAAAAACAACCACAAGGCACAAAAAACAGCAACAAACATTTAATTAAAAAGGGAAAAGAAAAGAGTAGCCTGAGCTCGTAGTGGCTCTTTAGCCCCCTTTAAATTTAGAATTTAGTTTTCAGAGGCAAGCACACAGACAGACAGCCTAGTTCGTCAGCCACACAACCTCATCCTCTCACGAGCATGCCTACACTGGAGAACTTGTTATTCCCCGCTGGGGCCATGTGTCCTCGTGACCAGCCACTTCCAACATAGTCCTCATTGAGGGCACTGAAGGCTGAAGGAACACTGGGGTCAGGCTTGAATTTACAGTGTTTTCTGTCCGCGTCACCTAGAGAAAAAAAACACACAAAATGTTTATTAGTGGTCCTCTGAGGACGCCAGCGGGCTAGTGTGGAAGGTACAGCTTCAAGCAGCAGGCATCAGGGGCCACATGCATGTCTCAAGCTCCTAAATAGTTGAGTTTTTTCATGTGAGCATGGCTTAGTCTAGGACAGGCTGCTATCTCACACTCTGATTCTGGCCTTTCCAATTAAAAGAAAACTGCCCTGGACAGAACTCACGCCAAAGTAATGAGTAGTAAGGGGCAGAGAAGACTTTACTACCAAATCAACTTTTACAAAAAGTACCATCATGTAACTCACAGCACTCCAACAGCATGCCCAAGATAAACCCACATATGGGGTGTGGCGTGGGCGCAGAGTGTCACAAAGCTCCACTTCCCCAAGGAGCCATAGGCAACTGATGGTTGCTGGGAGAGGCAGAAGTTTCTTCAAGAATCTGCCCCTAAGAAGCTACCCAGGCTCCAGAGGGCGACTCGACACCCAGGTACATCCTGGCAGCACCAAGTGGACTCAAGTGGGTTGGGGCTGGGCTTGTTAAGAAAAAGAACACATGAAATTCACAGGGAACAGTGGCGAAATGGAAAAGAACTGAAGGGGAGGGAATGAGGGTGGACTCAATCAAAACCCATTGTATGCCTATATGAAATGCTCCAATAACTGAAAAGTAGACACTTGTGTATTGTTTTACAAAGTTATATTCTGGCAACTTTATTTGTACTGTGTAGAGGAAGGAATAAACATCTGAGGTAGGAACTGTAGCCAGCAACCCTTGAAACAGATCTCTAAGTGGAGTGAGTGTCTGCAAAGACTGCAGCGCTTTGAATGAGGGCCCACAGGCACATATTCCCATGCTTCGCCTCCGGCTGGTGGGCAGCCTAAGAGGGATGGGGGATTGGGACATGTGGCCTTGTGGGAGAGGGGGTGTCGCTAAGCCCCATGCTAAGCCCAGCCTCTTTCTCTCCGTCTACCTGTGTTTCAGGGTGCAGCTCTCAGCTACTTCTCCAGCACCATGCCTCCGTGCCCCCAGCCACACTCCCCCACCATGACAGCAGGCCAACCCTCTCAAACTGTAAGCAAGCCACAACGAAACGCTTTCTTTTATAAGAGCTGTCTCTTCACAGCAGTGAAGACACAAGCATTTGTAAATACTACAGTAGACTGTACTTTACCACCTCAAAACTACCCAACTCACAGGGTTTGCAGTGAGAAAGGCATGGCTTTCCTCATAATGATCACAATGCAGGATAAACTTAGTAAAATTGAAATTCTTCCACTATTTTAACTTATTAAGCTTAAGCACAAATCAAATGGGTCATGAAATACATACATAGAATTAGGGGCTACAGATATGGCTCAGTGAGTGAAGACCTGAAACAAAGGGTGAGGACCTGAGTTTAGACCACCAGAAATCACATAACGCCAGATGTGGTAACATCTGTAATCCCAGCTCCTACAAGATAGAAAGTAGAGACAGGAGAATCCTTAGAAGCTTGGAGACAAGCTAGCACTGAGAACAAACAAGAGCTCTTGTCTCAAACAAGGTGAAAAAAACAAAAACCAACCCTGAGGTTGTCCTCTGACCTGCACACAGTGGACCAATGGTGGTCCACACACTCACAACTCTCAACGGCTACAAGTATCCTCTTGAACAGGGACATTTTAAGGTCCCTACTCTGCTGCACTTCGTTACTGTTTTTGTTTGTTTCAAGACAGGGTTTCTGTGTGGCTCTGGCTGTCCTGGAACTTGCCTGGAACCAGGCTGGCCTTGAACTCAAGAGATCCTGCCACTGCCAGGCTTTGCTGCTGGTTTTATGTCCTGGAAAAGTTTGCACTCGTCCCAATATGAGCATTTCAATCTTCCCAGCCTTTTAATCCTCAGAAAATGATATGGTCTTAATCATCTTTAGTGTGTGTGTACATGTATGTGTATGTGTGGCCACATACCTCAGTACATGTGTGCAGGTCAAAGGACAACTCTGTGGAGTCAGTTCTCTTCTGCTTTCTCCTAAACTCAGGTCAGCTAGGCCCTGTGTGACAAGTACCTTTACCCACTGAGCCACCTCGCCAGCTGCAGGGCACTCACTGTACAGTGGAGGGGAGATAACACAAACCTTACATTCAACAGCAAATCACAAAATAGGAATGAAACCACCATGGTAAGGGGAATGTGGTGGACCATCCTTGTCATCCCAGTACTTAGAAGGTGGATATAAAAGAATCAGGAATAGATTGATAATCTGGCCTACACGCCTGAAAACAAAAACAGAAAACCTATATATATATATGTGTGTGTGTGTAAATGTATGTCTATATATATATATGTCTGTATATACTCGTATATATATATATATATGTCTATATATATATTTAACATAAGGAGTTACTGTACAATTGATTTATTTTACTCATTTATTTTTTGAGGCAGGCTCTCACTTAGGTAGCCCTGACTATCTGGAAATTCATTTTATAAAGGTGGCTGACCCTGAATTCCCAGACAGACCTGTCTCTCTTAAGACTGAAGCTGTGCACACCATATCCAGCAACATAACTTTTAAAAGACTACCCTGAGCTGGCTGTGATAGCATTCACCTTTAATCCCAGAATTCAGGAGACGAAGGGCAAGCAGATCTCTGGGAGTTCAAGGATAGCCAGGGATGCATAATTATACCCTGTCTTAGGAAAAAAGCCAAAAACAAAACAACAGAACTTTTCTAATTTACAGAAAAAGACTAAGCCACAAACACCACCTCTCACTGACAACAAATATAGTAAATCAGCTATCAGCCTGGTGAAACCTAACAGTGTTCATCACAGTTGAGGCCGGGAGTAGGACGCTCAATAACGGCAGCATGGACTAAAAAAGTCTACTTAGGAACCAATTTGAGATTTGTCATCAAGACCTGGTGATGTTAATTAAGGAGTCTTCCAAGTCATGGAGGCCGGTGAGCAGACTTCACCGCTGGCAGCCTCCAGCCTCACGGCTCATCACGTTCTCCCAGCTGCTGCGCTCCGGCCTTCCTTTAGATCCCTAACTGCACAAAGTCCTCTCCACACTGGAGTCTCCAAACACAGCACTGCTGCTTTCTGCCAAGAATGCTCTTCTCAAGTTCTGTGGCCCGTCCCAAGTTGCCCAACTTCCGTCCACTCTTCAGTCTACTTTGTAAGAGAAGCAAAACCATCTCTGTGACCGTCCCTAGCACATTCTGTGCTGTTCCCTAATTATACTATCCTTACCAGCAATCTGTTCTTTCAGAAAGGTTAGCAGTCATCTTTATTACATGCTCATAATTACTTGGCAGGTCAATCTGATTCTTTAATCACAAATGTCACAGGACTACAGACCATCTGTTTTAGTCACAGCTATATACCCTCAGCTTTGCACCATCATGCAAACACACTTAGTGACTGTTTTAAAAAAAATCTGTTGGGGTAAAGATGATGCTCAATGTCTACGATGGGGCCTCGACACTCAAGTGTTGAAATACACATGTTCTCAGCGGAAACAGCCAGGGAGAGTCTTAGGGCTCCCTGGATACTAAGCTTGATCTGTTTAATCAGAGAGCAAACAAACATTATTTTCAGTGTGCGCAATGAGGAACAAAGGCTGGAAATATTATCAACAGTCCCCTTATTCTGAAGTTGAAAACCCTCTCATCAGTACCTGCATTTTTTCCAACCACCTACCTATGATCTTGTCCTTGGATATATGTTCAAGAACCCATCTGGGTACCCGTTTTGCCTGATCATAAGACAAGGCATGGTTAGTGTAATGCCTGGTCTCTGTTCCGCTTAAAGGAAATCCAAACTGTTCCAAGACAACTTTTTCTGCAGATACTAAAAAAGAAAAAAAAGAAAAAAAAGGGGGTGTGAACAAAAACCACGTAATTTAGTGACTCTTATTAAGAACAAAAGACTATAAAGATAACAGTGATATCTAAAAACTGGCTCAAAAGTATACACCAAGGAGTCTGCTCCCCAATACTGGGAGCAGGAAGGGTCTAATCAAATAGACCTCATCTTTGCAATTACTTACTAAGTTAAAAAAAAAAAAGTTTGGCAAAATCCTCCTTTGCTTATAATCTGTTGGGTACTCACAATAAGCTTCAGCTATAGGGGTGTGTGTTTGTTTTGGTGCTGGGAAATGAACTCACGCATAACTGTGAACTCACTCTGTGGCCTAGGCAGGCCTTGAACTTTTGTTCCTCCTGCCCTTGCCCACCACATGCTGAGTTTACAGGTATGTGCTACCACACTCGGTCTTAACTTTTAAAGGCCTAGCTGGAGATGTGCAGGGTAGAGCATAGCTCAGTGACAGAATTGTGACTGTACTAGAGTCCTAGCTTCAACTCCCAGTACCTAAATAAATAAGGGCCCCAATCTTACTAGTTTTTTCACAACAGTTTTCCAAATCCGCCTGCACCACAAACTATATATAAGAAAGACCTCAAAGGAAAACCATCATGCCCTGGCTAATTATTAGCTATTGATAAAACTGGATGGGAAAGAGTCTTCGTACTTACAAAGACAAAACTGGCCATAATTTTAGGTTTTGTTTTTTTTTTTTTTTAATCATCATGATATCTCATTTGCCAGGTTAAGTATTCATTTTACTTTTTCAAAAGACTGTAACTCCCTGAGTGGGTGCACAAACCTATCACTCCAACAAGTTTGATGCCTGGCTGAGCCAGAGTGAGCATTGGCTCAAAACAACAACAAACAAACAGACAAAAAGACTGCACTCAAACTGTCCCTCCCTGACACTCACTCCCCCAGTGTTTTAGGAAGACTGCTGTCTACACTGCAGTAAGGCTGGGAAACCAAGCACACACCAAACAGTGAGCTGGTCACAAGTTTCTTTTCCCCATGCCTTCCCAGCAGCCAAGCACCTCAGCAGGTCTCTGGCACAATGGAAGTATCAACACGTCCTGGAACGACATGGGCCCGGACTCACTTCTTTGTGTAAAGGTACGGTGCCCTGTTAACTCAAGGATTTCCGTACTATGAAGACTGGGCAGCTCATATTCTTTATGGGAACGCCTCCAAACACACTTGATGTGATGGTTAATGTCCATCTGACAGACTCTAGAATGACCTGTGACAGCGCTCCGGGTATGCCTACGGGGAGTGGGAGCCGCACGCTCAATTGTGGGCGGGGCCACGCCCTGCCTGGGATCCGCACTGTGTGAACTGGAGAGAAGGGAGCACGCCGCCGTCCCCGTTTCCTGATCATGGAAACGGCGTGGCCAGCTGCTTCGGGCTCCTTTCCCCGCCACGACGCGCTGCACCTCGGAACCGGGAGCTAAAAGAAACCTCCTCCCTTCGCTTCCCTTCAGTTGCTTTTGTCAGGTGTGTCTTGTCCCAGCAACAGGAAAAGAAACTAAGACACTTACTGCAGGCCAGTTCTGTACCAGGCACTGTGCTGCACCTAAGGTGGAGAACAAACAGAGTCTCAGCTCGGGGCGGAGCTACGGACGGCGGGGCGGCGACCCCGCAGGGCGCCGGGCAGCATTCGGGGGAGGCCCGGGGAACGGAGGCCGGCCCGCGGACTCACCGTGCGGCTGCGTCGCCGGCCACGCGGGCCCCGCGTCCCGACGCCGGAGGAGCTGCAGCGCCGTCAGCCCTGCTCCCGCCGCGCCCACCACAGCCCCGGCCAGGAAGCCATTCAGAAACCGCCGCGAGCCCCTGAGGCGCGACGCGAAGCCCTTGGCGGCCATCGCTCCGCAGGGCGTCCTCCGCGCTTGCGCACGCCGGGGCTCTGCGCCACAACGCCCAATCGCTGGCCCGGGGACGGGGCGCGCATGCGCGGCCTGGGGCCGCCTCCCAGAGGCCTCCGCGGCTGAGGGCCTCGAGCGCCCCCTAGTGACGAGCATGGACAGGTGCGCCTGCCTTCATCCCTGGATGCGTTGGAAGCATCATGGCTTGTGGGTGTAATTGCGTGTGTGCACGTGTACTGTCCTCAGAAGAAAATGCCTTTTGGCCCATTTAACAGTGAGTAAACGCGCGCTCGTGATCCGCCAACGATCTCCCAAATGGAGATCCAACTCGTTGTGATTCCAAATCCTGTGCCACATTGGATCTGTTTGTGCCACCTGGCTTCAAGGTCAACATGTACACGAATCCCAACTCCTGAAGCTACAAGTCTGTGCCTCCGTTCGAGTTTCTGAGCAAAACAGTACTCCGTGGTAGCCAGAGACCTCTTGACCAAACGACTGAGTGTGTCAGTCAGTGCGTCTATTGTAATTTGTGCCTGGCCAGCAAGATGCCTCGCCTAGTAAGGGTGCTTGCCGACCTGAATTCGATCCCTGGGACTCACTTGCTGAAAGGAGACAAGTGGCTCCTGAGAGCTGTCCTCTAACCGCCGCGGGCATACACGGGCATGCACACAGGTATAAATAGGTATTACAGAATATTTAATCCCATGTGAACCTAAGATTGCAAACTGGAAAGACCTAGTTTTTTCTACTTGGGGGAGTGTCTTATCCCTAACACACAACTTTAACCGAAGAGCTACATAAAGTCAACCCTGAGGCGAGAGGCAGAGCAAGAAAACAGTTGACAGGTTAAACAGAAAGGAGAGACACTGAGAGAGAGGTAGTTAAGACAGCATGGAGAAGGAGCTTTTTAGCTTTGGGCTTTATTTTCTTTTCCCCTTGGGATGTGAGCTGAGTAGGAAGGTCAGCTGGAAGTTTTCTTTGCCTCTCTGAGCTAGGCTTTCACCCCAATATGGGGCTCATGACTCTTCATTGGTAAATAGAACAATTGGGATTTTTTTTTTAACAACAAATAAGTAAATGTAATGAATTGTGAAAGAGTTTGGTGGAGCATCCAAGCACTGGGGAAGCCGAGAAGGGAATATTTGAGCTCAAGACTACATAGTGAGTTCCACATGAGTCTCAGCTACAAAGCAAGACCCTGTCTCAAAAAAGATACTAAAAGCATCGCAGTCAAGAGGTTCGTCTCCGGAGCGATGGGTGAACACATGACGCAAGCTGTCAAGGGCTGTCACCTGCTAAAACGCCCTCTCCTGAGACCTAATTTAGCTGGATCGTACCCTCTGTTGTTCAGAACGGCTCCAACCCTAAATTAGGGTTTTAAGTGAACTTTTTTGTTTCAGATGTAACTAATTTTTAAACCATATCCAATAATTCATAAGCCTATAATCTATAACCAAGATATCCAGGACATGGTAAATGTATACATTTAAGACCAGTCAAAAACAAACATGCAGTCTTCTCTTTTAGGGCTGTTATTTGTCCAGTGCCTCAGCAGTGCACAACTGAACCCCAGGGTGTCTGATCTATTCAAAAGGATCCTGTTCGGTGCAGGCGTCAAAGAACAGGAAGGCTTGAGGCAGGGGTTCCCTACTCTTTTGGAAAGCCTCCTTCTGCTTTTCAGGAACTTATCCTTAGTCCCAGAGTAGTCCATTTAGGACGAGACCCTGAGCCCCTGGTCATCCCACCTCCATCTACCAAGTGCCAGGATTACCAGGATGCACTGTTTTTAAGATTTTTTTTTTTTAATTTTAAAGAACTTTTCTATATCATTACCAGTGTGCCTGTGTATGTCCAGGCCACGCATGCGTGTGGAGGCCAGAGAACATCTTTGCAGAGTTGCTTCTCTCCTTCCACCTTTATGTGCTTCTAGGGATCAAACTAGGGACCTCCAGCTTGTGAGGTATCACTGACCTGCTAAACCATCTCAGCAGCCTAGCTGGCAGGGATGGAGAATGGTGCTTAGCTCCAGCCCCACAAGATGGTGGTAGAGGAGACCCTCGGCCATCAGAAACTGAATGTGTATCAGGCAAGAATGCACCGGCTGACTAGAACCAGCCCTGAAAGCAAGGAATGCTCTTTTATTAATTTCCAATTCCCAACAACAATGGCTCAGTAGTTAAGAGCACTCATGGTTCCTCCAAAGAACCCAAGTTCAGTTCCCAGCACTCATGCTGGGAAGCTAAGACTACCTGTAGCTCCCAGTGATCTGACACCTTATCACTGCAAATATGTATACACACACACACACACACACACACACACACACACACACACACACACACTTTAAAGATAAAAAAAATGAAGCCAGGAGGTAGTAGCACTGGCCTTTAATTAGGATCTCTCAGTTTGAGGCCAGCCTGATCTACACAGCAAGTTCCAGGATAGCCAGGGCTATACAGAGAAACCCTGACTTGAGAAAGAAGGGATGGAAGGATGGAAGGAAGGAAGAAAGGAGAGAGAGGGAAGGAGATGGGGGAGGGAGGGGGGAACAGAATGAGTTGCTATAATTAAAAAAATTAAAATCTTAAAAAGGGGCTGGAGAGATGGCTCAGTGGTTAAGGGCACTGGCTGCTCTTCCAGGGACCCCAGTTCAGTTCCCAGCGCCCACATGTTGGCTTACAGCCACCTGTAACTCCAGCTCAAGAGGATCTGATCACCAGTTTTGGCCTCTCTTGGCATCCACACGCAGACGGCATAAAATATACATATAAAGAAATATTCACAATTTTCTAAAAAGACAGACAAGGTTATTTTATTTATTATTATTTATTTTCATATACAAAAAGATAAAACTTGAAATAGTTCTAGACTTTTCCTCCTATTCTGTTGGGGGTGTGGCTGCTCCTTCACACAGGAAAACTACATTCACATCGGTTTGTTTGAGGGCCCAGTGCAGAATTCAGCAGCATAACCCCAACTTAGCAGATCTAACTTCAAACTTGACACTCGCTTCTAAAATTACCACAGGAAAAAGGAGCAAAGATCCACTGCAAATGAATGAACTATGATACAATGTTCTTTCCAAGATGTTTGCATTTTGCAACTGTAGTTACATGGATGTCTGCTTCAGGCCATTAAAGAGGGGTGTGTGTGTGTGTGTGTGTGTGTGTGTGTGTGTGTGTAATATATATATAAATCAGCACACTTTTCAAATCCAGACAGGGTAACAGCAACAAGCTTAACTCTGTATATATATATATATATATATATATTTTTTAAGACATGATACTTTAGTATAACTTTTGTTAATTCAGTAGTACAAGCTATTTTCTGTTCTACAAAATGTTTGTTTTATAGCTACAAGGGTGAAAAGTGTCCAACTACATTTACACCTCACATACTCTGGCATACAAACAGTACTTAATCGAATTTGAGCCAAAAACTAGAAAGTCTTTAGTTTTAGCACTTCTGAGAGCTTCTTCACTTCTACAGCTTGAAATCATAGACTAGTCACATCTCCAGACTTTGCAATGACTTGTCATTTTTAAACTGTGAAAAACAGATGAATCCAAACCTTTAATTACAATTCATATGTACAAGTTAGATAACGCAGCCCAGTGAGACTTAGCTACCCGTCCTAAGGGCAAATACACACATTTCACTAAGTTAGACAAGTCGTAAGGTTTTTCTTCCAAATAATGTACAAATTTAGAAGTAGCTGGTAAAACTGATATAGAAGATGGTAAATAAAAAGTGACATTATTTCTTGGTTCCAAAACTGTCCCTGCAAAATTCTGTGCTCTACTGTGTTTTTTGACTGTCTGTCACATGCCCAAAGCTCTTGTTCCCAGGGACTGACGTCAAACTCAAATCAAGTTAACTTCACAGTACTGCATAACGCTACTTAGATTCAAGGACAAATGTGGAAAATATCAACAGGTGAAAAGTCTGGCCTTCGACGTCACCACTGGGATCAAGTAAGGTTCCTAAGCAGATAGATTCTCTTGTACAGTTGAAAAATGGCATCGTGTGGATTTGTGGCATGGAAGTAGAATCTAGAAGTATGTTTCTAATCTGCGGTAACCCTCTCCTTCCATTCTCAAGTACCACTGAATTTTCTTTGCATTTTTACACAATTCTGGGGGGAAAAATGAGGGAAAGCACGCCGCCGCTGGTGTTTTAACAATTGCCCCCTTGCTGGTGAGCCTGGCATTTCAAACGCGGTGTCCTGCCCACGTGACAACTGCTTGCTCCCACACAGCCTCCAACCACCAGTCTTTCCTACGAAGCGCTCTGTCGACGTAGGTGAAATTTCGGTGATCGTGCTTTTCCCTTAAGGAGAAATTATTTGGCTAAACTCATACAATTAAATCGTGGCAGTGCTCTGGAAAGCCCCACTCGGGCTAAAGCACTTACAAGGACTGAGGTCAACAGTCCACTCAGCGGGGCAGAAACCAAACACCCAGAGGGCCAAGTTGAATGAAACCCACCAGAAATACACTGACCCTGCAGGACAGCTCAGCACACGTGACTCATGACTGAGTTACCACTTTTAATCTCAGTCTGCCATTGATGCCCCAGAGACAAAAATTCAAGATGTGGTGACAGCTGGTTAGTTAAGCTTTTGTACTGGTAAAAAAAGGCTCTTTAAAAATATATATATATATATTTATTTAAAATACATCAAATGACAAGCAGCCATATCCTACAAGGCCTAATTCCACAGCAATGTATACTACAGACATTTTCCCAGAATGCACTGTGGCAGTGGATGGGGGGCTTCTATCCTGCTGTTTGAAGGAATGTTCTATGTCTGAGCTCTAGCGACTGGAAATGTGTTATGAAGAGCTCATCTTTGGAGCTGATTTGCGAGACCAGCCAGTTAGGTCGCTTCACCTATTCAGACAGATGAGAATACTGAACACGGCAGAACGCACAGGACACAGGAAGCACCATTCGGATGACACTCCCGACAGTCCCACCACAGTGCCAGGACAGGC